ACACACACACACACACACACACACAGATACACAGAAACACACACAGAGATATACACACAAACACACACACAGACACAAACGGACACACACATACACACTCACACACAGACAATCACACACACGAAAGCCTGGGCACAGTTGGAGAGATGCACTTTGCAGAAAGAGATGCTAAACTAAACCCACCCTCTGCTAGCAAATCCACTAAGGTTATGTTAATGTGCCCGTCTCTTTCTTTTGTCCTTTTTTCTGTCACTCGTTCTCATCCGGGTTTTTCCCTCCTGCTTTTTTAGAACTTTTTCCCGGATCAGATGGTGGCCTGGTGTCAGGAGTCTGATGGATCCATCCCACAATCACAGCTATTACAGGTGAGGAGGTCTATCTATCTATCTATCTATCTATCTATCTATCTATCTATCCATCTATCCATCTATCCATCTATCCATCTATCCATCTATCCATCTATCTATCTATCTATCTATCTACAGTGGGGGAAATAAGTGTTTGAGCCCTTGCTGATTTTGCAGGTTTGCCCACTTACAAAGAATGCTTATTTTTCCTCATCAGATGGTTATCAATTTTTATAAATTCATATGATGTGATTTTCTGGAATTTTCTTTGGGATTCTGTCTTTCACTGTTAGAATGTACATATGATTAAAGTTATAGATCGTTGCATTCTTTGTGCAACGATAACATAAATAACTATATATATATATTACATATACAGTATATATATGTAATATATTACCTAATGTGCATAAATATGAGGATCATCTTTGCCATATTAAAAAGAAAAGTTTAATTTGATTGAGTGGGAAGTAAAATGGAAAAATTGAGATATTTCCATCTCTGAATGAATACAGAAACTCACTCTAGTTTAATGAAACTCATTCTAACACATTCTAACTGATGATTGGTTGTGTGTTTGGCTGGTTTCTGGCTGTGTTCTGAATCCTTGAGCTTTTTTTGTTGTTTTCCTCCCAGAACCTGCTGAACTCGAGCAGTTGTCCGGAGATCCAGGGCTCTCTTTTTGTGAAGGAACCGGGACGAAGGTCCTGGAAAAAACTCTACATGTTCCTGCGCCGCTCCGGCTTCTACTTCTCCACTAAAGGAACGTCCAAGGTGCTAAATAGTGTGAAATAAATTCAATTTATTGATACATAAATACATCTTTTTATTTACTTAACCCTTTAAAGGCTGATCCAAGAATAAAACAAAACAGAAAATTAAAATATTTTGGTTTGAAGTCTTTATTTGGCCCTTTAACAAAATATGTAAAAAGAAAAAACAGAAATAAATTGTTAATATTAATAATGTATTATTATTTAATTATTAATAGTAATAACACAATGCAGTAACAATACATAGTAATAAATAATTTATTACTATGCGATTGGTCAATATTATCTTTTGTGTAGTCTTCTGCCCCCTGTTATCAGGTGTATCTGATTGTGTACAATAGGATTTTGAGCAAAGTTTTTATTAAATTATGCAAAAGGTGTCAGACGCAAAACAGAAAATTACTTTTTTTTGTTTGAATTCCTTATTTGGCCTTTTAACTAAATATCTAAAAAGAAAAAACAGAAATACATTTTTAATATTAATAATTTAATTTAATTTTTAATATTAATAATTAATTTTTAATATTAATCATTTATTACTATGGATTTATTACTAGGATTTTAAGCAAAGTTTTACTATCAAATTATGCAAAAGGTGTCAAAACATTTCAGAAACCGTATGAATCAGATATGATCCATTTGGCATTACAGGGATAATTTCAGGTATCTCACAACCTCTTCTGTGTTTGGGGTTTTTGTTTTTGTCTCCACCAATCAGGAGCCCCGACACCTGCAGCTGCTCTCAGATCTGGAGGATAGCAACGTTTTCACCGTCATCACGGGAAAAAAACTCCACAACGCGCCCACGGACTTCCAGTTCTGCATCAAGGTGACACATTAGTTAGCATCTCTGTTTTGTAAGCGTATAGAAATCTTTTACACTTGAGACCCGAAGCTGATGTGTTATAAGGTGAAACGTCCATAAAGAGAAGCCGTCCTGTCCTGAATCGAGTATTAGCATTAGCATTAGCATCTGTAACCCACAGGTCTGTGTCCTAACCATTAAGTTGTTATCAGAGCATTAGCATTAGCATCTGTAACCCACAGGTCTGTGTCCTAA